CTGCACGGGGAGAACATGGAGACTCCACACAGTAAGATTCCGGTGCCCCCACCGGGACGCGAACCAGCAACAGTGCGAGGCAACAGTGCTACCAACTGCGCCACCCTGCAGCCTGCAAAACTTCCAAACACATACAAAAATATATATTTCAGGACATTGTAATTGAAGTGATCCGATGGGACACTACAGTTCTAAACTTTTTCTAGACTTCAGAAAATCAGGCCTATGATGAGACCCTTAAGCAGTCCTTTTTACAAAGACCAGGAGGAAAAAGTATACACAGAGCAATGACTTTTCCTTGAGTCTGGAGGTAAACTGCATAATTTTACTGAAGGTCTGGTGTGAACCACAAGTGACTTATAGCTTCAGTGTTTTTGTGCATCTTGTCTGGTGGGAGAGAAGAGCTGCCTTTTCCAGATTCCAGAATATAATGTAGTTTATGGTCTCATTGAGTGATGGGTATGGTGAGACATCAGGCTGATTAAACTGAAATAATGAACGTTTTCTTTCTTCTTTATAGTGCAGAGCACTCTTATGGGTCATCTACAGTCTCATCAAAGGATGGTGATGAAAGTAAGTGTCCACGTTCAGACGGTTTTAAATCTTTTTCAGAACAATTGACACTGTATGTCTGTGAGCTAATGCATCTATTAGATATAGTTCTTGTTCTTCATGTGGGGTTTATTGAGAATTCTTAAATGTAGTTTGTTTGAACAGCCCAGTCAGTTCATAGAATATTTAAAATAGTCTCTTGTGCCTTGAGGCTTTTATGTCCGTTGAATTCAGCACAGAGCTCCTAGGAAAAGAAATGTTTCACTTGTGGTTGATTCTAATTGGTAACTGTGTTCAACACCATCTTGCCCTTTTTTGGGGGGGAATAATTATAAAACAGAAACTAGATGCACTGTATATACCACAGTAACACAATAGAAAATTACCAAACAAGTAATTGTTAGAGGAAATCATTTTATGCACTTTGAAACACAAAAGTCCAAAAGCGCATAATCTTTCCATTTGTAAGCACGTTTCCTTCTTTCTCCAGGTTCTAATTATTCTGTTTCTCCATAAGGTTCTGCAGCAGATGGTGCACCGGCTGCTTTCTCCTGTCCCAAGTGCTCCTTCCACCACCCAGAAGAAGTGCAGGTCCAGCAGCACATTGACAAAGTTCACTCTGTTGAGACTGTGGAGGACAAGTCGTCCCTTCAGGGCCTCATAGATGAAGAGGGACATTTTAGTTGTGCAGACTGTGAGAAGAACTTCAAGTTCCAGTCCTTACTGAAAGCCCACCAGCGCATCCACACGGGGGAGCAGCCCTTCTTGTGCTCTCAGTGTGGACGCCGTTTCTCCTTCAAACAGTCGCTGGAGAGACACAAGCAGACACACAAGTCCGGACGCAGGTACGAGTGTCTGATCTGCGGGGAGTTCTTCAAGTCTCTGGCTGCTCAGAGGGAACACAAGAGCACCCACATGGAGAATGGGGAGTACTTGTGTTCAGAGTGTGGCCGGGCGTTCACCTGGAAGTCGGCGCTGGTGAGGCACCTGAAGACTCATGGCGTGGATGCTGACAAAGCAGAGCATTCGTACAAATGCCCTCGCTGTGACCTGGGCTTCAGCTGTGCCAGCTACCTCAACAGGCACCTCCAGACTCATCAGGAGGAAAGAGTCCACACCTGCAACTGTGGAAAGAGCTTCGCTTACCGGGCGGCTCTCACCGCACACCAACGCATTCATCAGAAAGAGCGGCCACACATATGCACACAGTGCGGCAAAGGCTTCCTCTACAAGGGTGGTTTGCTGAGCCACATGAAGATCCACTCGGAGGAGATGCCCTTCATGTGTTCATTCTGCGGCAAGAGCTTCAAGAGGGAACGCAACATGAAGAAACACGAGCGCTGCCACACCAGGGAAAACGTTTTCAGCTGCTCGCAGTGCGACAAGAGTTTTGTCTACAAGGCGACGCTGATCAGACACGAGCTGACGCACTCGGGCGAGAGGCCGTACCTCTGCTCTGACTGTGGGAAGGGTTTCTTCTCCCATGCAGAGCTTTTAAAGCACGAGCGTTTCCACACGGGTCACAAGCCTTTCCAGTGTCCCCACTGTGGCAAGAAATTCACTCAGTCGTGCTACCTGACCATCCACCTGCGCTACCACACCGGAGTCCGACCGTACTCCTGCACCGAATGCGACAAGAGCTTCCTGAGCGCCAACCGCCTGAAGAGACACCAGAGAACGCATTCAGGGGAAAAACCGTACCTCTGTGTGGAATGTGGGAAGGGATTCAGACAATCTTATAATCTGAAAATGCATCAGAGAACACATGTCATGAAGTTAACATAGACAGCTAGGACTTTATCTTGTTGATCTGGAGATTAATGTTCACCCAATTTAAGTTGTTTAGGATAATGGCTTATAGATTAGACTTCAACAAAAGCAGCTGTAGAATTACTGTCTCTATGTACCTGCATTAAACTGCAACCACTAGAGAAGATTTTCCATTATACTGAATGCATTTGATTTCCAGGCTGTGTTGCGATTAAAGCACCTTGAGCACAGGAACGTGTTTGTTGCTTTACCTTTGCTCAAAATCCTGAAATAACGAATGGAAGACGAATGTATATAAATTCAGTCTTTATTAAGTTTGGGTAAGTTTTACAACAGAAACTTTAGCACTGGTTTTGGGGGGAGAAGCTTAAAACAAGATAAGTTTTCTTTTAACAGCAGTGGTTCCATTTCAAACCGTAACAAACTTGAGCTTAGACATTTTGAGTGTTTAGTGTTGAAAACTTGGTTTACATCACTGGATTTACTGACAGACTTGAATTACAGGTAGAAGACAATATTTGTGTTTTTGTGAACGTTTCATGTGGAAAAAAAACAAAGACAAAAATACTACATAACAGCTAGGCTACAGTTACTAAAAAAAGTAAGCTTGGGCAGCACTCCAAAGATTCAACATTTCCCATGACGGCTCAACACACACTGGCACACGTGGCAGTTTGAGCCACGTGAGATCAGGAGAAGAGGCTCTTGAAAGCATGAACCCTGCCGACCACACGGTGACCTACACAGCTACGTGCAGAGTGATGGGGCAGTGGTCGCTCCCCATCGCCTTGTTGCGGATCTTGCTGTCGCACAGGCCTGGCGCCAGAGAGGAGGACAGCAGGAAGTAGTCGAGCCTCCAGCCCACGTTCTTTGAGCGGGCGTTCATCATGTAGGTCCAGAAGGTGTAGGCGTTGGTCTGCTCGGGGTAGAGCTCCCTGAAGCTGTCGACGAAGCCGGCTTCCAGCAGCTGGCTGAAGCCCTCGCGCTCGTCGGGGGTGAAGCCTGCGTTTTTCTTGTTGCCTTTGGGGTTCTTCAGGTCGATCTCCTGGTGTGCGACGTTGAGGTCGCCGCACAGCACCAGGGGCTTCTGCATGTCCAGCTCGCTCAGGTAAGACCGGAAGTCCTCGTCCCAGGTTTTGCGGTAATCGAGGCGCACAAGGCCTCTGCCGGAGTTTGGCACGTAGACCGTGACCAGGTAGAAGGTGGGGAACTCTGCAGTGATGACGCGGCCCTCTTTGTCGTGCTCCTCTTTGCCTGCAGGATCGGTGGAAGAGGTTCTTTTATTTAACCACAAATTAAAGACATTTTCAGTTTAATCACTTCCTGTCACATTGCGTTGTTTGCACTGCACATCATTTCTTATAAACAAAGCCGACTCTGAACCAAAGACTCAATATGTGCCTCATGCAGATTCTTCTGTTCTCTTTTGTGTCTACTTATATTTTCATATCTTTAGATTGTGTGTTTTGTAGCTTGTTACAGATCCAGACTGTATATTTTTAGCTTATTATATGTTTAGCTTACAAATTTTTTTAGTATGCATATTATTGTAGCAGAACTAACAGTAACTTTGACTTGTTTCTGTTAATTCTGCTCAGAATGGAAATGAACAGTCCGAAAGCTTCAGCTAAGGAGCCTCTTACTACGCTTTTGGGTTTTTCCCATTTCTTGTGGTGTGCTACAGCCTTCATGTTGCTGTTAAACAAGGTCCATCCCACAGAACCTAATGCTCCTTACCTGCCTGAAACACCTCATTTACAGTCCAGGCTTTCCTTCCCTGACTTATCTATGTCACGTTTGCATAACAGCTGCCGAGCAAACAAAGAACGAGCAGCTTCCTTACGGTCTCCCATTATTTTCTTGCTAAAGTTGCTTCTGCAAGAGGTACATCCCCACACACATACAGATGCGGGGTTGCTTTACATAACCAGCCTTGAGTTTATTTATAGCTTAGCATAAAGACTAGAAACATGGGTGGAAAAGCCAGCTTGCTCTTTCTATAGGCAACAAAATCCAACTTAGAGCACCTTAAAAGCTCTGTAGTTAACCAATTAGAACTAATGGCTTTAATTCATACAAAACACAGGATGCAGCTTCAGTGTTCCCTCAAACTAGTGACAGGTGGAACTGTTGTTGAACCTCAGAACTCTCAGTTTACAGCTATAGATGTCAAACTTTGTCTAGTTTCAAATAACACAACAGCATTCAAAACCATCCCTCACCGATGCCGTAGGTCACTTTGATGGGCTCGGTCTTGCAGAGCATTCCCACACCACTGTAACCCTCCTTCTCGTCTGACACAGCCCAGTACTTGTGAGGGTACTCGGGCATGGAGGTGATGTCAGCGGGCAGGGCTTTCTGTCCACACTTAGTCTCCTGCAGGCACAGAACATCTGGAGCCTCCTCACGCACCCACTGAGGAAGACGAGAATCACCGTTAGCTTCATAATCATTTCTAAAATGACTCTCAGAACCGATTAATGTTACTCCTCCCATCGCTGCCGACTCACATCCAGGCCATTCTTCTTCACCCAGGCCCTCAGCCCGTCCACGTTCCAGGAGGTGATCTTCATGTTGCTGCTGCGTCCATCTTTGCTGGTCATTTTGTCAGGAGGATCTTCGTACAATATCGGCGCCTCCGGTTCCTTAGTCTTCTTTGCTTTCTTTGTGGAAGCTGTGAGGTCAAAGACAAAGCGTCACAGTGACAGGAGCAGGTCAGATATGTGCTAGAAGAAGTTGGAAAATGTGTTTTTTTTAATATATCTGCAACAGATTTCTGTTTGTGTATGACTGCATGCTATAGTACCAGAGCCGGTGTCATTGTCCCCCTCTGTACCGGCCTCCTCTGCATTCTTGCCTCTCTTCATACTTGAACTCGCTCTGACTGCAAGCACACCTCGCAGACACACAACACGCACACACAACAGCACTCGCGCCGCTGCAAGAAAAGAGGAGAAGCTTTAGTGATGTGTTCAAGTGTTACAACAACACGCAGGACACCATGACAATAGAGCAATGTGTCACAAAATACAGGTCTAAATGAAGCACTGTGGTGCTGCCTGCTCTACTAATCATCATCTGCACACGTAAGGGAACCTGTTTGTTTGATACACACCGCAGCAGAAAAAAGTCACAATATCATTTTCATTTCTTCGCCATTGGAAAAGAAAGCATTACTATTCCCGCTACAATTATGATTCATATCCAGCAAAACAATGGTGATGTGACCTTTTTTTGTTTTCCATACTGTGCTGCTCTACACTAACATATTTAACATCTTTGTTTGATTTTCATTCATTCAACTTTTAACTCATTAAGGTATAAAGGCTTCATTTATAATGTAGCTGAGTAAACGGTAAGATTAAAGTTAGACGTAAAAGTAGAAATCTACGGTTTTTGTTTTTTTTTTTAACCAGGAAAAGGTTCATTGAGATTAAAAATCTCTTTTACAAGAGTGTCCTGGCCAAGACAGGCAGCAGCACAACTGACAGACAGACAAGGTCACAACAGCATCCACACAAACATCATACTCATAATACATGGTGATTACATGTTGAAGATAAGAAATCAACACAATAACATATTAACTGGTGTCAAAACAATCCTGGAGTTTAGATGCCCTGTTTGTGTGTGGAAATACACCAACATGTACAGCCTTCATCTTGTGCCCTTAGATCAGGGGTGCCCAATCCTGGTGCTCGAGAGCCACAATCCTGCATGTTTTAGATGTTTCCCTCTTCCAACACACCTGATTCACATGATCAGCTCATCATCAAGCTCTGCAGAAGCCTGATAATGATCCTGATCATTTGAATCAGAGGGAAACATCTAAAACATGCTGGATAGGGGCTCTCGAGGACCAGGATTGGACACCCCTGCCTTAAATGAACCTGCAGTGATGGAGACCATTTTCTCTTGCTGGCTCAAACAACTTCCTGTAATTCATCATAGAACACTTCTCTTCCCTAAACCAATACCAGCCAATATATATATATATATCTGTTTCTAATTTATATGGCTCATATTCAGCTAATAGTGTTTTTCCAACATTGTCCTGCTGAATGTCCAGTTAATACCCTAAAGATCAACTTCAGACATACATGTGAACACTTAAACGTAGAGAAACACTTCAACAGACGATGCATGTCAGCAAAATACCAGTTAATCAGATCAAACTATCTGCCTTCTTGTAAGAAACAGGTTCAGTTATGAGCACAAAATCTGCAAGAATTCATTTTGTTGATCTTTTTTTACAAGTCGTGCTCGCCATCCTGAACATGACAGCATGTGCTCTTAAGTCCCTAAATAAACCCTCTGACAAAAGGGAAGCTCGCTGATCGTGTATTATGATGTAAATCGCTGCTGTGGAGTGCATTAAATGCAAAATGAGAATCAATTTGCGAAATTTTCCTGCAAAACTAGCAGCATGCATGTAGAAGACAGAAAAACTCGACGACAGAAGAAGACACTTTGCATTTTTTTACGTGTTACACAACAAGTTTAGCTAATAGCCAGCTATGCTAACGTTAGCTTTTTCCTGTGTGACAAAGAGCAGAGAGCAGCAGCAGACGGCCTGCGCTCAATGAATGGAGACAGAGCAGCCGGCTAACTGGGCTTTATACGAAGCTTCACGGATTCACCGACAAAATGCAAATGCGGCAAAAAATAACGTTTAAATTTCAAAGACTTCCAACATTTAAAAAAAATCATGCAAATAATCTTACTCGCACTTTCACAAACAGGATGCACAGCCCAGACAAGTGCTGCTTCCCAGTCACTCCCCCAAACACACACTCACAGCGAACACTTCTCACCACGTGCTCACTACATTGTACTGCCTGACTAAACACATGCCTGAATAGTATCCCACAAATAGCACACATTTTAATTCCTAACCCAACAGTAGTAAGAATTCACACCACTTCATGCTATGAAGGTGTACAACATTATCCTGACATGCTACTGAATTAAACCATTGTTTAACGAAGCTTTATGATGAGGCGAAATCCGCAGCTGCCTACTGTTTGGGTCCTTCGACATTTACATGGAGTGGTTGAGCTAAAGCAGTTAGCCGAGGCTGTCAAACTAGTAGAATAACAGTTGAATTAGATTGAATTTGCATTAATGTCATTTGTTGAAGGAAAGTGAAAAGGTAGGCAAACCGAATTTGTTTTTAATGCAACGTTAATTTAAATTATTTTTAGGAAGACAGTGGGCCTGTCCTGTCACGGTTAGCATGGGAGCTAACTGCACAGCTGTACAAGGAGCTGTATTTTGGTTTTGCTAAGTATGGAGAGAGCAAACGCATTTTGTATTTAGTGTAGAGTTCAATAGGTTTAATGGTGAAGTGTGCATTGGGAGGGTTGCTTTATAGGCGACTATGGTATTGGCACCAAAATATCAATGGGCAGCAACAAAATTCTTCAAAATGCTAAATGTTCTGCGAAAATTGAGTTTAACATATGTGCCGTAATTACGTCTATGTATCTCTTAATTTTGCCTTAGCACAAGTTTAGATTTAGTGTTTCCTAATTTTCCTGACTATCTTAAGTTAGGGATTGCATGCTTTGCTCACATTTGTCTCTCTGTATAAATTGGCATTTTAAAATTTGTTTAATTGTCGAATGTTTATCAACAAAAGGTTGCAAAACATAAATGACCAGCCAGAGTAAATAGAACCAATACTCACTAAAAATACTACTGAACGAAAGTCACATATCAAGGTTGATCTTGCATGTAAAGCCACAGGTCAGTAGCTTAACTAGTACTTTGACTAGTAGGTTAGTTAAAAAGAACCATAGCCTTTAATAACTAAACATGTGAATGTAGTATCTTAGAATTATTTATCTCACAATTTTGCTTTTGCTAAATACCCTAAGTCTATCCAAGTGTTCCTAATTGTTTTTTTTCCATCCCATTAACACACATGAGCAGCACTTTTTAGCTAATAATTATTTCTATTGGCATGTAATCAGTGGACTGACTTCTCGATTATCGACTGGTTGTTTGGCCCATAAAATGTAAAATAATGTAGAATTGATGAGTGTTTGTCAAAGTCCAAATATGACAAATGTGTTGTTTTGTTCACAACCCGAGGATATTCAATCTACTGTCACAGAGAATGAAAATAAAAAACAGAAAACATCATGAAGCATTTCTCCAACTGATAATTAATTCTAATAATAATTGGTTATCAATGTAACAGTTGACCACTAATTGATTAATAATTGCAGCTCTAATGTAATCCAGTCCAGTACACCACCACTAACCTCTTTGTTTATTTCCATCCAGACAACAGGTCTCCAGCAGCCATGACCGTAGTCATCGGGTTCGAAGGCAGTGCCAATAAGATTGGCATAGGCATCATCAGAGATGGTGAAGTGCTCTCCAACCCTAGACGGACGTACATTACGCCACCTGGTCAAGGCAAGTTACATTTCTGTTTAAACTCTGTCACCCGAGTGCATGAGGGTTCTGATACAGACTTTTTAATGTTGTTATCCTCACTGTCTGTTAGTCAGGCATGTCTGCAGACTGTCCTGAGGGACTTGCCCTTAGCTCATAGTGAAGTTAATGACATATAAATATGGTGGTTCTGCCCTTCACAAAATGTACACAAACTGGGTGAAGAGAGAGAAAATCTGCTTGGAAGTTTATCTGCAAGTGACCGTGTTTGACTGTTTGTTGTTGTGGTTCTTTATTGCATGTTTGTAGAATTGTTTGTATTTTCAGTCAAACGTTGGATTTACAGATGTTCATGAGCTCCCTGACTTTTAGTAGTTTACTAAAACGTATAAACACTGTAATGTCACCAAGAGAGTGATTAACTGAGCTGCTAATCAAACTGCAAATAAAACAACAAGTCCAAATTCACTTCTTTTTCAAATGTGTCATCATGGTGCATGTCCCATTCCTCCTTTTTATACCATTTCAAGCCCTCTTGAACTCCATGCAACACTACAACTGTGACATCAGTTACATCTGTAAAGGTTTAGTGCTCAGGCCTTTAGGTACAGTCCTTCATGTCAAGCTGACTGTATATTATTTCACCCATTAGGGTTCATGCCGAGTGACACAGCCAGGCACCACCGTGCTGTCATACTGACTGTCCTAAAGGAGGCGCTGGAGCAAGCAGGCCTGAAACCTGCAGACATCGACTGTGTGGCGTACACTAAAGGTAACATCAACATCCTCTGTGGTCAGCTGTTAGTATGGGAGGACTTCAGTTTGTTGGATGGTCCTCAACAAAGGATTAAATGAGGTTATACTGACCTAAGAGTGCGCAATAAAGATCTCTTTTAATGAAATGAAATGAAATGAAATGAAATCAATGAAATGAAAAATACTTTATTTATCCCAGAAGGGAAATTCAATAAATTAATACAAAACACCATGTTTACAGTCAGTGTTACTCACTAAAGTGCCTGAAGTGCTCTTATAAACATGTGGAGTAACACTTAGCAAGCTAGTTTTTATGAATTGTATATCCACAATTGTTTCCACAAAGTTTACGAACATGCAATCTTTGTTGGCACATTTCTGTGTGTATATGTGATAAACAAAACAGTTTAACTCACAGAAAAGAGGCTCCAAAAAGGTCAACAACCAAAAAAGTTAGCAAGTATATTCTGCACTTGCTTCTTCTACTCCTCACGATAGACTTCTTAATTATGTTAAATGAAAGAATAAATTCTATTGTCATATTGTCTATTGTCTCTGTTTCCTCTCTACAATATATGTGTCAAACAGATAATTCTAGATATACTGTGATGTAGTGCACTTTATTTAAATCCAGCCCAGTCTGTAATCTGAATTTCAACAATGAATCAATCACACTGTATTCGTGTAGTTCTTGTCTTGCAGGTGGAATGTGGCACAAAGTGATTTACATACAAAAAAACGCCAATCCATATACAAAACCAAAGCTAAATGAAGGACTCAACAAAAACAGGGACAGAACAACTGTAGTGATTTTTTTTTTCAATTTGTAATGAAGAAACAGCAGATGTAGAACACACTGAGAAAATCCAACAAACAAAATAGGAAGGTAATAGAAAACTGAAATGGTAAAAAGATAAAACAGACTTTTATATATATATATATATATATACACACACACATATAAACAGACTGTTAAATTAATTAAACAATGTCTATCCTCATGACGGTAGCTTGTAGTGATGCATGTTCTGTGTAGTTTTCCTTTGTGCCTGTATTTGGGCGTCTAGTTTTACTCTACTTGTCAGCCAACACATAGTGTATACAGTATCGGAAAATGTTGACATTAGCGGGTAATCATACAGCCGAATGGTTCAGGCACATACCACATAAATGCAAATTCCATTGGCAGCAAGTCCTCCGTTTAGTTCCCAGTCAGCCAGAACTTTACCTAAGATCATCCCCATACTTTGTTTCCTCATATTTCCTTTCATTCTACACTGTACTGTCTGTGTAAAAGCAAAAATACCTAAAGTAATCTTAAAAACAACAACAACAACAACAACAAAAGCTGACCCATAAAATGAGTTTAATTTGATTTTTTTCTCCATAGGATAAAAAGTTAATTAAGCTTATTTCTTCTAGAAATCTTAATAAGCTCAAGAATTCTTTTGTAAGTGAGACCTGAAAATGTGTCACAATCATTCATTTGAAACAACCACCACCACACACACACGCACCATGCTAATGGAAACAGACAAAAATACGATCAGAAAAATGAGTCAACAAAACTCTAAGAGTTCGCAGAGGAATGAGTGTTGAACACGAATTTCAAGTTGTGAAGCAGCTCATTCCAGTAGTGAACTAGGTCGCTCCACAAACCAGTCTTCAGAGCTGGTTGGAGGAACTTCAAAAGCCAGTCTCTCCTGTCATGCGATGTTGTGGATAATAGGTTTGTACTCAACACAAAATCATTTAAACTGTGTTCAAACTGCTACAGGGCAGGAAAAACTCTGACATCGGTGTAGTGACATTCTCTAAGTGTTCCCAGGTCTGTGAGAAACGGGGATGAGTTTCTTTGCATGTCTGTCTGGTAACGTTTTACAGAAAATAGGTAAATATTAAATGATGGCTAATATACGTTGTGTATTTCATCTTTTTCTTACTATAACACGTCAAACTGTCTGTTGGGAAAATGGCCTGTTGAGGAAAATCTCATCCTTGTACCCAGTTTATCAGGAGCATGAAACACTGACTGATGAATGAGATTCTATTTTGAACAACATGATCCTGATGTTCACTGCTCACAAGGTGTCAGTGTTAAATTATTATCTCACCAGGCTCAGTGATGTCATCCATACGCATTTTGATTGAACAGAGCGAAAGAAAATTCTCAAAAGTAGAAATTGTTGTATTCAGAAGATTCACATTTTTGTCACCTTTGACATTTATGTTGTCAATCTGCTGTTTTCTCTCCTTCAGGTCCTGGTATGGGCGCCCCCCTGGTCACAGTGGCTCTAGTGGCCCGGACAGTCGCACAGCTTTGGGGGAAGCCGCTGCTCGGCGTCAATCACTGTATCGGACACATAGAGATGGGCCGACTCATCACCAAAGCCAACAACCCCACGGTGCTTTATGTCAGCGGAGGCAACACGCAGGTTGGTTCCTGCTTAAGGGCTTCATTCCTCAGGAAAAACCTCAAGTCTGCATGATTTTTGCTTTGGTTGTTCTTTGTGTTTGCTTCTGCACCGCACTTCCTGATTCTTAGCTGTCAGTTAAATACTAACTGTTGAGTCATACATTAGTAGACAGTAACGACTTTCGGCTTCTGTTCCTTCTGTGCAGGTCATTGCGTACTCAGAGCGGCGGTACAGAATATTTGGGGAGACTATCGACATTGCTGTTGGAAACTGTTTGGACAGGTTTGCCAGAGTTATTAAGGTTTGTGTTCCTGTCTTTTGTCATCAAATCAACTCTTTGCCTTTTAGCACATGTGATAGACGTCTGTTAATACCTTTATGTGGCTCTGTCTCTCCTCAGATTTCCAATGATCCCAGTCCAGGCTACAACATCGAGCAGATGGCCAAGAAGTGAGTGAGACCATTCAGCAGCTTCGTTGGATACTTACAAATGTATTGTGTGCGCGATACTTAACTTTGCTTTTTCTGCAGAGGGAGTCAGTACGTGGAGCTGCCATATACGGTGAAAGGAATGGATGTCTCGTTTTCTGGGATCTTATCCTATATAGAGGTGGGTGGTGTGTTCATCTGTGGAGCTGATCTAGGTTTAATTCTCTCAAGGCTACAGTTTGATGTTTTAAGACTTTATTATTCTTTTGGTTCATGATTATAACTGTTTTTTGTTTCTTTCATAGGAAGCTGCTAATAAAATGCTGAGCTCTGGTCAGTGTACAGCAGAAGACCTGTGTTTCTCACTGCAGGTACTAAGAACCTGTTAACCATCTGAACCCCAAGCACACTCTGGGTGCTTTTTTTGTGTGCATTTTTACTCCCTGTCTGTTCATTTTTCACTGTAGTATAAAGTCCTGGACCTCTAAGGGAACAGCTCAACCATGTCTAGAAGTACAGAGTATAACTAAGTTAAAATGCCATAAATCACCAAAAAAAACAAAAGAAATGATGGCTTTACATGCTACTGATATTTTGCTAACTACATTTTTTATTTGTACCCATACTAGTCTCCTCTCTGCTCTGTCTACACATAGCCTGCAGTTCATTTAGGTGGTTGGAGTTCAGGGTGTTAATATATATTATCTTACATGTTGAATGTGTGTAACGTAGGAAGTTAAAAAGGAAATGTAGAACCATTTACACACTTAAAGGCTTTGATTTGTATTAGGGGCAGGAACAATACAATGTCCATGGCTAATGTAGAATAAAGGAACATCACATGATTTTACATCAAGTTTATGCTACGATCAACACGTATTGACAGCATGTTCTGTTTGGATCTTGATAAATTTGGTGTGAAACATCATGACAGCAACTAATTATTGATTAATCTCTTTTGCCATCCAAAGTCACAACCAACAGATTCAGGGAACTTTTTTCACGTCTTTGTTTTTAAAAATTACCAAAAAAAAAATATGGATTATCAAAACATTGACTGTTAAATTTTCTGTGCTACCACTGACTTGACTAATTAATTAGTTCAACTCTTCACTGCAGCCCTAAACATGATGCTAAGTCATGTATCTCCCGGCGCTAACGCCTCTCTCTCTCTCTGCAGGAGACGGTGTTCTCCATGCTGGTGGAGATCACCGAGCGGGCCATGGCTCACTGTGGCTCCCAGGAGGTCCTCATCGTCGGAGGTGTTGGCTGTAAGTACAGGAGAAATGTCTCACAATAGCAAAAGCAAATGTCCTGGACTGAGCTTTTCTTTCCAAAGCTGCCGTTTTGCAAGTTGTTCAGTCACACACGAACAAATTACAACAGATCTCCTACGCTGTTGTAATGCACACTATATCAACAGTGTTGAAATGCACTGAAACCAGAATCTGATGCTGGCGTTTGTCTTTATAGAAACAGGCACTCTGAAAACTGACCTCCCACATGAACGCAAATATTGTCTTTTCTGGGTTTGATAATCACCCAACAGTGTAGAAATGTTGGCTGATTAGCAGCAGGATTCTTCTGGCTTTGAAACTAAAAATAAATCCATACGGGAGATGTGTGTTTTGCAAATTGGGGGGGGAAAAATCATGACTATTAATCATTTAAAGGTAGATGATGATAAAGACACTCCTGTAATAAATATATGTAGTTTAACTTTTATTTTAAGGCTCCTGGTCTGCCTCTGCATTTATTCTTCTTACACATTCAGACTTTTCTCCTTTGCAATTATTGTCAGATTATTATTGTCAGATTACTTATTTTATTCTTTACTACTGTTCGTTAATTTACTTTACTGTCGAAATCACTGTAAGATGCCTGAATTTCACCGCCAACTTAAATCCTAATCCCATGATTGATTAAAAACTATGTCCTGTTCAGCACTGCCTCTAGTGGGAATCATTCCAGGGTCACATTAATGTTCTGACCTGTGTTTTTATGGGTGTGAGCTCTTCCTGCCGTGAACATGGAGGATGTGACCTGTTGTTGTTTCCTCTGCAGGTAACCTTCGTCTGCAGGAGATGATGGGGGTGATGTGTCAGGAGAGAGGAGCCAAGCTGTTCGCCACAGATGAGAGGTGAACCCGTCGGCTCAGCACGTTCACTTTCATTTACGTGAAATTCCAGCAGAGTTGGTTTCACTTTTACACCCACGACCAGTAGGCTGCTGACTGACCTTGAACAGCCGTCCTCCTTGTACTCATACAGTGTAACTGCCTCTACAGGGCGAACAAAACAACAGTCACACCCGGTGCAGTTTACGACCCAAACACACCTCAGATAGAGTTGCTCTGTAGTCGGGGGTGTGATGATTGTGTAAATGCTGATTTAGAGGCTTTACTTTGGTCTGCCCGCGGGGGGGTCATCCTGGAGACCCCTCAGGCCCGGAGGACTGTGTGGAGTCCAACCACCCCAGTCCTTCTGGGCCGGGGGTCTCTGTGGCGGTGACCCTCCCCGTGGTTGTGGACTGTGATCCCTCTCAGTGTG